CCGAGAGTGGTGTGTCCTGAGGGAGCATCCTCTTCCTCAGAGACACTTCTGAAGTTCATGTGTTCATTCTCATCCATCCGTTCTCTTGCTTTCCTCCTCTGGCTTCAGCGTGGTGTCTCCGCAGTGAGGGTGTCAGCTCGGTCTTGCTGGGGGTGTCGAGTGCAGAGCAGCTGATAGAACATCTGGGTGCCCTCCAGGTGAGCTGGGGAGGCAGAGGCTGGGCCCATCTCTGTCCCCTCCCCAGGAGCCAGGGCGACCTTGTCCAACCCAAAGTGAGGACTCCCTACAAGGCCCTCGCTTTGCAGAGGAGAGATTCCAGGCTCACAAGGCAAAACGGGCCACAGCTTGGTCCTCTAAGTGCAGGCCCTCAAACTTCAGATCCTTCTTCTGTGACCCGACCACCCCATTCTCCTCCAGGTGCTGAGCCAGCTGACCCCGCAGACGGTGATGGAGATAGACGGGCTCCTGGGGAACAAACCACATTCCAAGAAATAGCCTGTCGGGGGCGCAGAGACCCAAATCTGGAGCCGCTACACGCCAGCCAAACCCCTGCAGCTCCAGATTCCTCCACGCAGCTGCCAGAGCCAAGTGGTCCCGCCCACTAATGAGTTCCGGCTTCGATAATCTATGCGCATGAACAAAGCCATATCCTCCCGTGGTGGGGCTTGGGAGGAAAAGTAGCCCGCTGCTCCCTCCTGCGTTCTTCCAGGCCTTTTTGCTAATACCATGAGCTATTATAATAGCATGAGCTACTGGGCCATACCCTCCTTGCCATTTGGTCTCCCCTCTTTCTCTCTTACCCCAATAGCCAAGGGGGTTAAAAAAAAAAAAAAAAAAAGCTAAACGGTAGACACAAGAAACGCAGATTACCTCAAAAATGGCCCTTGAAATGTCATTCAGGGGTAATAACCTCACAAGTGAGTTGTGATGTCACCTGGGACAAAGGAAAATGGGGTTCTTTGCCGTTATGACGTTATGCCATACAAAGGAAGCCAGGCTGGTCCTGGCGGGAACTAAATGATAAACTTTGGGAACCCAGGACCCTGCCTCCCAGTCAGGAGGCGAAGGAGGGCTTAACACTGGAATTAGTGTTAATACGCTGTTTCTGACGAAGGCAGAGAGAAAATTGATGGCTGATGTGTAGCCGGGCCAGGGCGGCCCCTGGAAAGCGGCTGGGCTGTGCGTCCCAGGAAACAGTGACAGCCGTTCGGTGGAAGCAGGGATACGGGGCTAACCTAAAAGGGCCAGGACTTCTACCTGGCTTGGGAGGACTGCAGTCTTAGTTCCGGCAATAATCTTAAAGCAATAATAATGGCCTCTCTTCTGTAAGACTTTCCAGGGAACTGTAAATAAAATCTTAACCTAATCCTTCCTCAATCGCTGTCTGAAATCGCAGCGGGTGGGAGGTTAGGGTCTCAGTCTCAGTTGGCCTTCTCGCCCTAGCCATTAGAAAGCTCCAGTACTGGCTTTCTCTCCACCGTTCACTGACCGCAGAGACCAGGCATCGTGCTCCTCAGCACCACATTCAAGGGCCAGCGCCAAATTACTTGGGCCCCAGTTTCCTCCCTCCCTCCCTCCCTCCCTCCCTCCCTCCCTTCCTTCCTTCCTTCCTTCCTTCCTTCCTTCCTTCCTTCCTCCCTCCCTCCCTCCCTCCCTTCCTCCCTCCCTCCCTCCCTTCCCTTCCTCCCTCCCTCCCTCCCTCCCTTCCTCCCTTCAGTTGCCACATTCCTTAGAATCCAGAGAGACCTGGCTTCCTGGTCTTTTCCTCCCCCTGACACCACTGCCCTTGTTTTGTTTTGAAAGTTACATTAGCCACACTTTTGGTCTCATACTCCTTCCTTTCACTCTTGCCTGATACCCACACATACTCAGGAACTAGTTTCTTGTGGTTTTCTTGTGGCTGAATGGGAGGGTGGCTCTGAAGTTGAGGCTTTGGGATTTGGTGAAGGAGAGGTAAAATGAAAACTGGTCTATGGCTGAGATGATACAGAGAAAGGAAATGAGTTTTCCTTGGAAAAAAAGGAAAACTTGTGAGGATGACAGGAAAGCAGAATCGAATGGGATTGTGTCAGATACAGCCCCTTAGTCTTCCCTAAAGGACTCTGATTTCCCTGAGATAGAAAGCGGGTGGAAAGTTACAACCTTTAAAGATCATAAGGCAGGGAAGAATGTGCTCTGCTGCTTTTCTTAAAACACAGCTTTGCCATGCCTGGGGGCTCAGCTGGCTGGTACAGGTTACAGGGTTCGAGCCCCAGGCAGGGCACACAACTAGGTTGTGTGTTTGGTCCCCACTCAGGGTGCATGTGGGAGGCAGCCAATCCATGTTTCTCTCACATCAGTGATTCTCTCGCTCTCCCTTCCTGTCACTCTAAAAATCAATGAAAACATAACCTTGGGAGAGAATTAAAAAACAGCAACCATCTCCCCATCTCCCCACTACTCATCCTCGCCCCTGATCGTGAAGCGGGGAGAGCAATTTCTAAGAGAGAAAAAGCAGCACACCACTTTCTGGATTAGCAACCAGCTGGATCAACTAATGAATACTTACATACCACTCCTACCACCTTCCACTCATTTTGGAAGACGGTGGAGGAAACAAAGAGGTCAAATGTGTGACTAAACTATCATTAGTTTTTCTGTAACAAATATACATAAATTTACCAATTCAAAATAGTCCTCTCTTACATAACTACCTTGGAGGGTTATGCACTTATTTTATAAATGTCTCCCCCATTGCTCAGAACATATTAAAAAAAAACAAAAAACCCTCCTTATAATGACCTTAGAGGCAGTTTAGAACCCCCTTGCAAGAAACCTTCCTTTAGCTGAAGCCGGTTTGGCTCAGGAGTAGAGCGGTGGTCTGCAGACTGAAAGGTCCCAGGTTCGATTCCGGTCAAGGGCATGGACGTTGGTTGCGGGCACATCTCCGGTAGGGGGTGTGCAAGAGGCAGCTGGTCAATGTTTCTCTCTCTCATTGATGTTTTTGACTCTCTATCCCTCTCTCTTCCTCTCTGTAAAAAGTCAATAAAATATATGAAAAAGAAATGAATGAAGTGAATGATAAATATGGTAAATGAGGTGTGCCAATAAAGGAAGGTTTCTTTCTTTTCACTGGGGATGTGCCCGCAACTAAGGTACATGCCCTTGACCGGAATCGAACCCAGACTCTTCAGTCCGCAGGCTGACTCTCTAACCTAGGGGTGTCGAACTCAATCAGAGAAGGGGCCAAAATCTAAAATCCAGCCTAAATCGCGGGCCGAATGGTTTACTGAACAGTCATAAACTGTCATTGTGATGGAAACGCAGCGGAGGGCAGTGATGACAGCGCGGTGCGGGCCACATTGCAAGGCCTGGTGGGACGGATTTGGCCCGCGGGCCTTGTGTTTGACACATGTGCTCTATTCACTGAGCCAAACCAATTTCAGCTCATTCATTCATTTTTAAATGTATGTTTTTAACTGACTTCAGCTGGGAAGGGAGAGGGGAAAAAAGCATTGGTTACCCCAGGGACCAAACCTACAACCTGGGTATGTGACCTGACTGGGAATCAAACTGGCAACCTTGGAGTGCTTTGGGTGACACCCAAGCAACTGAGCCACACCAGCCAGGCAGCTTCATCCATTAACTTAAACATTTACTGAGTCTTACCATGGGATACAATGGTGAACAAAACCAGACTCAGAACAACCTTCATGGACCTTACAAATGGACAAAACAAAGAAACAACACCCAAAGAGAAACGTCAGTTGTCCAAAGGCCAGAGAAAGGCTGCCCTGAGAGCTGGCAGACAAGTAGGTGTTACTAAGGTGAAAGCAAGCAAAGGGGCGAGGGGAACAGCGTACAAGCAGGCCTTGCAGCCGAGAAGAACATCCGACCCAGAGATCTGCAAAGCCAGAGCGTCTAAGGACAAAGAGGCAGTGGAAGCGGAATGTGAGACACGGGTGGGTTCAGAACATACAGTGACTTAGAGGGCACTCTAGAATATTCTGTATCTTGAGAACAGTAAGAAACTTTCTAGATCAATTATCTATTGATACACAAATCACCTCCAAAATGTAGTGGCTTGAAACAACTTCTAAACACAATTTTCATATTTTTTTTCACAATTCTGTGGGCTGGTTGTAGATTTCTGGGTTTGGATTAAAAAAGAAGTAGGAGACGGGGAGAGATGCTGATTTGGACAAGGAGACCATTGGTTTGGGTCCTTGAAGATAAATAAGAAAGGAGGAGCAGGTGACTGGATATCCAGGTCTGAAGCTTAGAGAGCCTTTAACTGTGAAACACGTTGGGGGCATTTATATAATCAAATCGACCTTAAAGGTTTAAGATTTAATCACCAACTGAGGATATTTTAAAATATGTGAGATTTCTGAACAGCACCCCAAAAGGAATTTCCAAAACAGTTTCGAATTATGACCGCGTCATTGAAATAAATAGGTAGCTTCCCCCAAGTGACCATGAAGACAATACAGCTCAGAAGTTCTGAAATGTTTGCTTAAAAATAATGGTATACTTTCTCAAAAAGATTACCTTCTAAGGTTTTAACAATGTCATTAAAAAGCAAAACCAACTCTACATGGCCTATAACTGTCAGTAAATGCATGGGTCTAGACTCTAGAGCACATGTGTCAAACACAAGGCCCGCGGACCAAATCCGTCCCGCCAGGCCTTGCAATGTGGCCCGCACCGCGCTGTCATCACTGCCCTCCGCTGCGTTTCCATCACAATGACAGTTTATGACTGTTCAGTAAACCATTCGGCCCGCGATTTAGGCTGGATTTTAGATTTTGGCCCCTTCTCTGATTGAGTTCGACATACCTACTCTAGAGAAACCCGTCTGGTATTGACCCAGAGAAACGGAGGTTGAAAATGTTGGGTAGTGCAAAGTTAAAATGAATACAATCTAGGCTGGGGCACAGGATAATAATTATAGCTAATACGTGGCATTTACTCTGTGCTAGGCCCCGATCTAAGCACTTTACACATATGAGCTCATTTACTTCCATCCGTATCCACATTGTACAGATGAGGAAACCAAGGCCCAGAGAAGTGAAGTAACTTTGCTCAAAATGTCACTATTAGTAAGCAGTGGTGGCTGGGAGATGAACTCAAGCCAGCTGGCACTAGATGTTACCCTCCTCCCCAGAACCCGGACTGCAGGTCCAGGAGAGGAGGGTGAGGAGGCAGCTGGGGATGGGTGTGGCCCCAGGAGGGAATGTGGGCTGTGAGTACCATGTCCTGTTTACCTGTGAGGGAAGTCAGACCCCTGAGTCAGAACGCGTGCGGGACTGTTTTGTTGGAGTCATCATCGTGTGTGGGTGTCCGGGCCTGACTACTCTGGAAGGAAAGGATTCCCAGGATTCCTAAGGCCATGGTCCTGAAATCTAAGACACCTCAAAGACTGAGATGACGACTGGTAGTTGTTGAAGAAAGAAAATTAGGAAGTCAGCCTTACCACAGCACGGTGAGAGTGTGTGTGTGTGTGTGTGTGTGTGTGTGTGTGTGATGTGTGTGGTGTGTGTGTGATGTGTGTGTGTGTATGATGTGTGGTGTGTGTGTGTGTGTGTGTGTGTGTGTATGAGAGAGAGAGAGAGAGAGAGAGAGAGAGAGAGAGAGAGAGAGAGAGGGAGAGGGAGAGGGAGAGATATGGATGGATGTATATACCAAGGCGAGCTGCGGGCAGAATGAGAGTTTCTGCCAGGCAGCATCCGTTCAAACCTCCAGGAGCCCACTGAAGATGGGGCAGAATGAGCACTGCCACTGGCTGAGAAGCTTGCTTGGATGGGGCTATGCAAGTGTGACCAGCTGAGCGAACAGGTGCCAGGGACTGCAGGGACCCGTGCGGTGGCTGGCTGGGATCAGGAAGAGGACCGGGGGTGTGCGTGTAGGTAGAATTGGCGCGCAGGCTTTGTGCCGGAGGTTGAAGGAAGGTGTGTAGGGAGCAGAGGGCTGTGCACCTCTTATCTCCCCGGGTCCCCAGGCCTGGCATCACTCTGGCCTCCTACCCCATCCCGGACCAGCTCGGCCAGGATGACATTCCCGGCCTCGGGCCGCCGCCGCCCCCACACATGCCGCCGCGGGGAGCGGCCCCACATCTGCGTGACGCCTGCCTCGAGGGGCGGGGTCTCATTTTTAAAAGGGGAGAGACGCGGCGGCGCCCGCCCCGAGGCCCGACCCGGGTCACAGGGAGGGCTGGTTCGCGCTGCCCACGGCGTCAGCCGCGTTAGCGACACCCTCGAGTCCGCGGCGGGCAGCATGCAGCTCCTGGTGAAGGTGCCATCTCTCCCGGAGCGGGGGGAGCTGGACTGCGACATCTGCTACCGGCCCTTCAACCTCGGGGCCCGCGCGCCTCGCCGCCTGCCCGGCACGGCGCGCGCCCGCTGCGGCCACCGGCTCTGCACCGCCTGCCTGCGCGAGCTGGCGGCCCGCGGCGAGCGCGGCGGAGCGGCCGCGCGCGTGGTGCGCCTCCGCCGCGCCGTCACCTGCCCCTTCTGCCGCGCGCCCACCCCGCTCCCGCGCGGCGGCGTCACCGACATCCCGGTGGACCCGGACTTGTGGTCGCGGCTGGAGGAAAAGGCGCGGGCTGATCGTGAACCCGATGAGGCTGGTAGCCCGGGCCGGGAAGGCGGCGACGCCGACCGGGAGGCCGAGGACGAGGAGGAGGAGAGCGACAAGGGGTCGGGGCCGCGGAGCGCGGGGTGGCGCGCGTTCCGACGGCTCTGGGACCGGATGCTGTCGCCCGCGCGCCGCTGGCGGCGCCCGCTGCCTAGCAACGGTGAGGGGCCGCCCCGGGAGGCTACAGAGGCGGGGTGGGGGGGTGGGGGGGAAGAATGCCCAGGGTTAGACTGCATCTTCCCGCTGCCACTGACCCTTCTTCTTCTTCCCGCAGTTCTGTACTGTCCGGAGATCAAGGACTTGGCCCACATGACTCGCTGCACGCTGTGACCCCGAGGCCGGGGAGCTGAGGCCGAAGGAAGGTGGGAGCTGCATTCCCAGGGCGAGCTGTGGTACAAGGGGCTGATGCCAGGCCTACCCCCTCTCCCATCCCAGGATTGGCACTGATGAGGAAGTGCAGCCGAGGGCAGGAGGGAACGCCCTGGAAGGTGTGGATGCTGAGCTGGGGAGGCTCCTAGACGAATCGCCCCCATCTGCTGACTGTGCCAGCCATGCGTATGTAGGATAGAGTGGCCCAGGGATGATAAAAACAGTCTGTGTGCCGTGGGAAGAAGGCAGATTGTTTCCTTAGCTGGGACTTGGCTTTTGTCCAGGGCAACTCCGGTGTGTGGGAGCAACAGGTCCCATTTTAGCAATTATATGTCAATGATTTGAAAATGAAAAAGAGGGGGGAAAAAGAAAAAAGGAACAGGACAGAGGCTGATTTTCATGTTAATCTCACTTCTCTTTCACCAAGATACTTGAGAAAAATAAGCCGTTTGGTTTGGCTGCCCCCCCACTCCACCCCCCAGTTCTGTTTTCCTAAAATTATCCAGCTGCCTCTGTCCTGCATCATTTCAGAATCCCCCTCCAACCTGTTAGGTCCAGAGAACATTCATCTGAGGCCCTAATGAGGGCCTATCAAGGATAGAAGAGAGACATTTGGTAAAGCATCAGATCTGAAATCCCATCAGTATCTTACAGTACATAGTCAGTGGGGGCTTGTTGGAAGTAAAAAGTCTCAGGATTCCACTTCACTTGCTGAATCAGAACCTGCATTTTAACAAGAATCCCAACTGATCTGTGTACACATAAAAATGTGTCAGCCCAGGTCCTATGTGCTCTAGGAGGTTACCATCTATGGGTGAAATATTTAGAACACAAATGGTATTGAATAAATTTTGTACTATTTTATTGAAGGTTCTGAAATGACATTCTGTTGCTGAAGAAACCTAAGTTCATGTGCATCGTTGGATTTTCCTCTGAGTTAAAAATGTGAATTTAAACCATATTTTGGTTTTTCCTGTCCTTAAGTCTCAGCTTACATGTTCCCTCTTTTGGGAAGCCTTTTTCAGCATCAACCTGGTGTTGCTGCTCCATCACCTTCTATAGCATGATGCCTTGTTTTATGTTCTTTGCCTTTATTTTTAGATAGTATGTGTTTTGTTAGTGTCCCTACTAAAGTGTAAGCTCCATGAAAGTAATGACTGACTTATGACTATTTTATCTCCAGTGCCAACAACAGTGTTAACGCACAGTATGTACCAATACTCAATAAATGTTTGTTGAACCTTTTAACATTCAAAAATTGACCTCTCTCAGCTGTGTTTGTTGAATTTTATCTTTCATTTTTTAACATTCAAAAACAAAGTGTCGGACCTCTCTCAGCTTCTGAGCAGCCCTGGGAGTGAATGATACATGTCAAAGAAATGTCTAGCAGTTAAAATACTTAGCAAGCTATGGAGGTCTGACCCCACACTCCCCACCTCTTAAAAAAAAAAAAAAAAAAGACGCAATTCACACTTGGGACTGAACACGTGGAGCTTTGGGGACCTCTGCTGACTCTTGCGGGAACTAAGCATGGGAAGGATGGAGATGGAAAGATGATCAAAAGGATGAATAGAAGGCAGTTCTGAATCGCAGCAGGCAACCCCGCACACACTTCTGTCCAGAATCCCTGCTATCTCTCTGACTTCAACCTGAGGCCTGTACTGGTATCCTGCTGCTCACCCTCCATCTCTAACCTGAGCTCGTCACATTAGGATCGGGGTTGGGAAAAGCCTTGGAGTTTTAATTGATGATCCAAGAAATAAAAAAGAAAAAGGTAGTCACAAGGTTTTTAAAAAGAGAAAAAGATAATATGAAACAGCAAAATCCTTTCTTTCTTTATCCCTCCCCCCCGAGTCAAAGAACTCCCACTCAAAAACAACAGAGCACACAGAAAGGAAAGTATAATTTATATGTACAACCAATAAACCTGATACAGAAGAGGGGACTGGGACAGACCAGGAGTGAGTGTGAAAAGGCCGGGGAAGGGCCAGCAAGAAAGTGAAGGGGCAGCGAAGAGGAAGTGGGGGGTTCGCCATGCAAACTGCCACTCTCCTCAGCCCCTCCGGGGAAGAGGGTGTGCGTGCCCGCGTATCCCTAGCCTGCTCTCCATTTTTCTCCTCTGGTCCTAGAAGCAAATAGCCCCCTGACTGGGCCCCTGCCTCACACACTCAAATTTAGTCTGTATTCAGGCCTTCAGGAGAGAAGGGAGAAGTCCTCAAAGAACCTGAGCCCGAGCGCTGGGGGTCCCCCAACATCTGGCCCAGGTGTTCTCTCCCACCCTTTCTAGGTGACCCGGGTCCCTAGGGCAGATTGGGGAGCTCCTCTTTGGCTTGAGGGAGTATCGCCCAACCATCACTCTGTAGGGGTGGTTCTTGGCCCCTGTGGAGGGGGTAAGATGCCCAACACAAGATGCCAATACACAGGAGGTAGCTGAGCCAGTGAATGGCGCCTTTATTCTGAGGCGGAACAGCAATGGGCTCCCTCGTAGCTGCCCCACACTCTGTTTAAGGAGGAGAGGTAAGGGAGGGAAACATGCAGCCACCCCTCCTCTCCCCGCTCTCTCTGCCAGGGCTCATCGTCATCCTTATCTAAAGGCCCCTCCTCCTCCAAGGCTCTCTTTCCTCCACGAAGCTTCTAAAGGCCAGGCAGTGCTAACCCCCACCTCTGCACAAGGTGGAGCTTAGATTGCAGGAGTGAAGGCTCCACCTCTCACCTCCCACAACCATTTATTGGGAAGCTGAGTGTTTGGCAGAGGACGATAAAGGTTCCTGGAAGACCCTGCTAACCAATTCCCACCCAGCACAGTCTTCAAAGCGTGGTGGGGGAGATGTGTGGGAGTGGAGAAAGACAAAGGGCCCTTCTTGGAAAGAGGAGTCAGAGAGGGGCAAAGGGGCTCCTAGCCCAGTGGTGGCCCAGCGGGTGGGGACGGCGGAGGATTGGCAGCAGACCCCGGAGCCTGAGCTGGGGGTCGGCCTCGGGCCCGGGGCCTGGGTGAAGGGCAGGCCTGGGATCCAGTCAGTCGTCTATACAGATCACCTCCCCGGCTCGTGGCTCCTTCCGATCCAGCCCGTCTGACACTAACGCCCCCACCATGTCCTTCTCCTTCTTCACCAGCACTGGAGGGCCGTTGGTGGCGGCTGTTGGGAAAGGGGATAAGGAAGTCAAATCCCTACGTCACTCCCAAACATCGCTTTCCGACAATAGTATATTTTTGTCCTCTCTCTCTTTTTTTGTAATTGACTTCAGAGAGAGGGAGGGAGATGGGGAGAGGGTTAGAAACATCAATAAGGAGTCTGGCCACCATGGCTCGGGGCTTGAGCATCGACCTATGAACCAGGAAATCATGGTTTGATTCTCGGTTAGAGCGTATGCCCGGATTGCGGTCTGATCCCCAGTGTGGGACGTGCAGGGGGCAGCCAATCGATGATTCTCTCATCATTGATATTTCTGTCTCTCTCTCCCTCTCCCTTCCTTTCTGAAATCAACAAAAGCATATTTAAAAACAAAAACAAAAACAAAAAATATCAATGATGAGAGAGAATCATTGATCAGCTACCCCCCGTTTGCCCCAACTGGGGATCAAGCGCGACCTCCTGGTTCATGGGTTGACGCTCAACGAAGCGTATATTCTCATTTCTGAGTCACCCCGTGCCACCTGCAGTTGTCCAGGGTAGGGATGGTAAGACCAGAGCGAACACCGCTCCCTGAGATCCCCCCCTGTGCCACATGCGGGAACGCATGCTCCACCTCCCACTGTACCCCCTTCTCATTCACACTCTCTCCCTGAAGTAGCCCAGACGGAGGAGGCTCAGGTAGGAGATACCACTGAAACCCTGGACGAGGCTTTTTGAGCAAGGAAATGGAAGAGAAGCTCAGAAAGGGGTGGGAATATTAAACCCCAGAACAACTCCATTCCATAAAACTCTGGGTATTTCCAAGGAGCAGTAAAAGATAGCTGAGCAGGGAGGAGCCTGGAAAAGGAGGAATGAGGGGGCCAGCTGACCTGTGATGAAGGACCCTGCTGGCATCTGGCTGTAGTTGGCGCCTGCGGCGGCCAGAGCCCCCACAGGAGCGGCGCTGAAGGCCGCCCCGTACCCCGGAGGCGTGGCGTAGGGGCCCGGGGGAAAGACCTGGAACAGAGAGGGAGCCCAAGTTAGAGAGTCCACAGTCTGAGAGGAAATTAGCTGAAGGGAAAACGTTAAGGACCAAATCTAGAACTACTGACGGGTATAATATACAGGAGCCTCGAGGGTGATGTGTATACTAGAGTAAGTCGTTTTCCCAGGTTGTATAGGATTCGGAGTAAGTGTGTATACATGCAGGAGTACCAACAGGGAGAATGGAATTAGAGGGAAAGGAGGTTACCGGTGTGGGGTGAGGCTCTGTGCCCTTGCTGGCCAGCCGGCTGAGGATGCTGCGCTCGGACATCTGAAGGCGGGCTGCGATGGGGGGTATTCGAGACAGCGTGGCTGGCAGGCGGGTCACGTCTGCCTTCATGTCGCTCAGCAACTCCTCCAGCTGGTTCAGAACTGGGGCCCGGGCCATGGAGAAAGAAAGGCAAGAGAAAGACAGGGAAAGGGAGAGATGGAGCCAGGAAAAGAGATGAAGAATCAGATGGACAGATAAAGTCAGAAAAAGAGAGTGAGAGGACACAGATGTCAAAGAATCAGAGAAGAAGAAAATGATAGAAGTAACAGAAAAAGAGAGTGACTCAGTGAGTAGGTAAGTGACAGGTAAAGAGGCAGAGAGACCAGATCATCACAGAGACAGATGGAGAGAGAAGGAAAAGGGAATATGGAGAAAAGGAGGAGAGGGGAGGACATTGGAAGACACAGGGGCGGGGAGTTGTCAGAACATCCCATATTGGAAGAAGGAAGTTTTGGGGTTGGGGATGACAGGGAGGAAATAGGAGGCGTGGGGAGGTGGTAAGTGGTGTCAAAGATTTAAGGATCAAGGTTTTAATATGTAATGGGGGAGGGAGGTTAGAGGGTCAGCATTAGGAATTAAAACAGGAATCAAAGGGTCCAGGAGCCAATTACTACATCAGATAGGATTAGATGGGTAAAGGGCCTTGGAATTTGATATTTCACTTTCAAGGTAAGAAGGTTTGGGAGGAAAGGTTGAAGGTCAAAGGGAAGTTTCATGGGGTAAGGTCAGAGGGTGGGGTGGCGGTAGTTTCCGCCTCGTGGGGTGAATGAGATCTGAGGAATGTGATTTGTGGGATTGGGGATAAGGATTCTTGTGGCTCTACACAGGCCGAGGCCCCAGAGAGGGTGCTATGGCAGGCATGTGGGTCAGTGAGGACCATCTACCCCTTGGAGGGGATGTGGCACAGCCTCACGGAGTTCAGGGGAGGAAGTCCCTCTCGGGCACTGATGTGAATGCTATCAGGCGCGGGTGAGAGTTGGCTGCACAAACCTAGAGGCTACAAGCCAGGCGGGCTAGGGGTGGGGCTGGAGGTCAGAGGGGGTTGGTTCGGAGGGTAAAGGGGTCAGAGGGGTGGGAAGATTTTGAGGGGTGCGGGGTGAAGACTTACGCAGCGTTGTGGGCCCTCCCCCGCGCGGGGCCGCCGCGGCCCTTACCCTTGTGCAGTACAGCGTTGGCCGGCTTGTTCCCCGCCAGCGACTCCTTGGAGAGGTGCTGGTGGCTCTCGGCCAGGCACTCGGCCTCGGCGAAGCGGGCGTGGAGGGCCATGGCGGGGTGCGCCGGCTCCTGTGATAGGTTCAGGTAGGCCGCCCGCCGAAGCTGCTCCTCAATCACCAGCGCCTGCTCCAGGAGCTGAGGGCAAGGGAGGGAGTCAACGCAGGCTCTGCCAGCAGTTGGGGAGGGGACGGGAGCCAGACTGGAGACCACATCGCTCTCACTGCTGACCCAGGGCATGCCCACTCCTCATCAGTACGACCCTCGCACCAACGCAGACCCAGACCATACTCACCAACACAAGCTTACACGCCAGCCTTGGCCTCGAGCATCACCACCCCCCTCAGGGTGTTAACCTTCCCCACCGTCCAACCAGACTGGGCCCCCTCTGACCCAAGCCCCTCTTCACTACTGTTCCTTTTGTTCCTCATCCCCACCTTGAATCTCCGGGCCAGAAACTTATTTTTCATCTCCAGAAAGTTCCCCTTATTGGCTTCCGTTTTAAATGGCTCATTGATAATGGCAAACTGAGCATCATTCTGGATGTCCTGCCACCGTGCATAGCCATGGCTGCCAAGGAAGGAAGAGGACCATCAAGGAATGTAACAGGAATGGATTGGGCTTGATCTCCCCAAAGTGTGGCACCATGCCCCCTTCTCTGGCTGTGGACTCCTCTTCCCTGTAACTCCCCTCTCTCTAGGTTGTGAGAACCGTTTCTGTCTTGTATTTGTATCAAGGATACAGAACAATCCCAGCCAGAAGCCAATAGTCGTGTCTTCTGTGCCAGATTTCATTGAGTTTCCCCGAGGAAATAGCTGCCCGTTCCTCATTCTGCCACAGCGTGTGAAGCTCTGGAAAGAGGGTGGAAGATAGATGAGCATCAGGAATTTTCAAATCCCATCCAACCCAACAGAAAGGTAGAGAAGAGGGAACTGGGTAGTGGTGGAGGACACTAAGGCTCTGTATGAGGCACGGGTCAAGGTCAGAGCAGGGTTAAGCATAAAAGTAATTACAAACGAAGTTCAAGTTAGGATTGAGAATAAAGGTAGACCCCAGCCGGCGTGGCTCAGCAGTTGAGCGTCAACCTACAAACCAGGAAGTCAGGGTTTGACTCCTGGTCAGGGCACATGCCCAGTGTGGAGCGAGCAGGAGGCAGCAGATCAATGATTCTCTCTCATCATTGATGTTTCTCTCTTTCTTACCCTCTCCCTTCCTCTCTGAAATCGATAAAAAATATAGTAAAAAAAAAAAACAAAAAAAAAACACAAAAAACCAGATAAAGATAGAATTAAAGACAACATTAGAGTTAGGAATATACCAGTACTTAAGAAGGACTGAGGGCAGGAGTAGACCCAAAATGTATCATTTCATTGGCAATTACTTGGAACTGAAGGCCTCCGGCAGAAAGAGAACCCCATGAGGATGAGCAAACCCCAGCGAAAAGTAGGCGGCAGTGAGACACCCACCCACCTGTAAAGCCGCCATCGGCAATATTGAACATGAACCGTGGCTTCTCCGCCTTCTCCTCACGTCGCCCATTGGGTCGTGGCTCGTCTCGAGGCCCAGATCGAAGCTCCCGGCCCCCTTTCGCATCCTCTGCTAGGGCAGAGGGGACACAGCTCACACCCGGGTCTCCTTCCAGATCCCAACCTGCACCCTGCGCTCTGCTGGAACCCACCCGGACTCCGCCTCCCCTGCTTCCCTCCGTCCCCAAGTGCACCGTCCTTCCACCCATTACCTCTCTTGCCCAAATCCCCTGTTTCCCCCTCTGGCCTCTCCCTGTGTTCCTGTCCATCCAACGGCTTCTCCTCCCCCCTCTCTCCTGGCGTCGACTCTGTGGCTGTGGGAGGGGGTAAGGGACAGGAAGGGAGAACGTCATCCTCATTCCCTGAACCCAGAAGAGGAAACCCCCAAATCCTAAGCCCATCACCCCGAAGTCCATGCACCCACCTGACTTCTCTCTGTCCCCCCGGTACCCAGGTTCAGGCTCCGTCTCTCCAGCTCCCCCTGACTCCTCATCCTCCAGAGGAATCTTCCTTGGCTCTAGCCGTTCCCCGAGGGACAGGGCTGGGCTGGGGGCATCAGCCTGGAAGACAATGAACCTGAATGAACTGGGGGTTCCGAGACACATGGCCTTCAAGACCCCCATTCCTTCTCCTTAGAGGAGCCAGGTGGCCACACACCTCTGTCTCCATCTTCTCCCCAATTTTGCTATTCTTCTCTGGCTTCTCCTCCTGGTTTTCAGCTTCATCCTTCTCAAGCGGTGTCCTTATGCCTTCTCCTTTCTCACTTGGAGCTGGAGTAGCTACCGGGGAAAGCAGAGTGAAGAAGGCAGAAACTCCCCACCTTGACTCCAATCCCTCTGGGCCTGGCCTCATCTCCCTCTCTCCACCGATGCGGACCCAATTACCGGGCTTGGAGGCGCACGGACTGTTGGCAGCAGAAGCCTCCGGGGTGGTGGGAGACGTTTTGGTAGGAGAGGAGGCCCTGGAGGAGCGCTTAGACTCAGCACTGGGGTCAGGCATCAGCTCAGGCATCGACCAGCGCCCATTGATGTGCTCAAACTCCTGTACCTGAGGGGAGAGGGAGAGCCACAGACAAGGATCTGCTTCAGCCAATGGACCAAAGGAGGTCCAGTCCCCTCTGCCTCATCTTGAACCAGCCTGAGTCTGGAACTCAGGGACGCAAGTCAGAGGAAGGACATAGGGCAGGCAATCAGCTTGGTCCTTTTGGTGAGGGGAAGACTGATACCTTCTTATTTTTTAAAAATAATTCTTGTTGAAAGTGTTACATAAGCCCCTCTTATCCCCCCACTGATCCCCTCCAGCCCGCCCCAGGCCCAGGCCCAGGCCCAGGCCCTAATTGCCCCGTTGCCTGTGTGCATGGGCCATGTGATACCTTCTTCTTGACGAGAGACATGACTCCAATGCGGGTCAACACTTGTTGGCGACTCAGGCCCTCTCGAGGGACCCCGTCAGCAAATGTTTCAGAGCCGTCTGCCCCGGGCTCACAGAGATGGCGCATGAACAAAGACACATAGGCCCTAAGACGCATGGGGATTGAAGGTGGGTTAGAAGAGCCTTAAGAAGGACAGGGGTTACAGAACCCCTGAACCCTAACTTCCTGAGGTGCCTCCAGGGGTCCTCCTGAGCCTCTCCAAATCCTAACCCACCACCCGCCCCTCCTCCTGTTCTTCCATGTCTCCTGGGCTTTGGTATTCATTCCTAGGCCCCATCAGTCAGCTCCTCATCCTTTTCACCAGCTCCCGGGCCAAGTAAATGTGAGGCAAGGACAGTCTAGGTGAGGTTCCTTTCTTAGCCACCTCTCCCAGGAGGAAGGACGCCCAGCCTCTCTACTCTTGGCTCGTCTGAGGGAAGGTGGGTCAGGCTAAGCCCACCTCCCAGGAAACCGAGCCAGGACCTGTTGCACGGCAGGGAGCATGATGGTCAGCTGAGTAAGATTACATCATATGGTGGCCAAGAGGAAGGAAGTAACACCCTTTCAAAGCTCGTACCCCTTCGTCCACCTCTGTCCCGCATCACCCACACTCACTTGAACTCTTTCTCCGTCTTGCCCCTCAGGTCTCGCACCAGCCACTGGGTGGTGAAGGCATCCTGCGGGGGCATTCCCCAGCGCATCACAGCGTTGAGGAAAGCCTTCCGCTGGCGGGTGTTGAATCCCAGCACCTGAGGAGAGGAGGAAATGGGCGAGGATGTCCAGGCATCTCATTCCTCGGTCCTTTCTCCCTCAGTGACTCCATTTCCAACCCCAGCTTCCGTGGGACCCTGGGTCAGCTCTCACCTCGATGTTGCCCCCAACGCGAGCCAGCAGCGGAGGCAGTGGCTTGTCCTTTTCATTCCGGAGCTGCCTCTTTGACTGTCGACGCCCTGGACAGGGATGACCCCGGTAAGTAGATCCATTACTTCTTCCACCCTTGCCAACACCCCATTCCCACAAGATAAAGAACTCGGGGAAGGCCTGTGACATGTCTGAGGCCCTTCTAATTTTCTTCCAAGCACTTTCAGAACTACTAACTCAGTAGGTCTAAAAGAGTCGAGTCATATTTAAAAATTAGTATTAAATGTTTGATGCAAGCAAGATTACTGATGGGAATGTAAAAGGATTTCTTTATCTTTTATTTAGGCTTCTAAGCCTGTGTGGTTATATATGCCAAATTTTATCAGTGGTGAGGTTAGGAATATTTCCTCCTTTCTGCTTATCTGTAATCTCTACTTTTTCCTTTTTAAAAAAAGACATTTATTTATATAAAAACTGGGCTTAAAGGACAATAGGAAGTGAAATGAGAAGAGATGTGGTAGAAAGTCAGGAAAGTAGATGTCACCTTCAGGACGCTCATCAAAGTCTTCATCTTCCTCCTCTGAGCCCACTGAGTATTCTGACTGGTTATCTGCAAGCGGAAAGGACTGTGTCAGTGACGGCTCCCTGGACAAGTCCTTTCCTCCGGGATGCTGGAGGACGGTCCGCGGTCTGATTTCAAAGCCATATACCCGAACCATGTCCACTTACCACACACCTTGTCTCTGACACCTCCTGAATCCTGTGTAACCCACTCTAAGCAAGGACTCCTGGGTGTCCACAGGAGCCCTCCACAACCACCGGATAGTTTAGATCGCTTGCAAATCCATCTGGCCTCTGGGTAGCTTCTACTGATCCTTTTAATCTCTTTCCCCTTTAAGAAAGCCTGACTTCTAGTCCTCTCTCTTTCCTATTAAATGTCCCCAGCCTCAGGCCCTCCCTCAGCACTCTCTGCTTCTCCGTTCCTGCACTGGGGGGTGGGGAGTGGAGGGAGTGCAGTCCTCACCTTGGTCCTCCTGAGCAGCATCATTGTAGTTAACTTGCTTGCGAACTCGCTTGCCCTTGCCGAGGTTTCGGGCTAGGTCTTCCTGTTGTTGCTCATAGTGGTGCCTCAGCAGCTTTTCCCAGTAGTCAGGATCCACATTCTCCTCCTGCTTGATGATCTCTCGTTCGATCTCCTCAATCTGAACAGCAGCAGAAGGAATGCTGGTGGCTTCCCTCTTCACCCAGTCCTTTTACCTCCTGCCTCCTAGATCTCCACTCTGCATAAATTTTCTGGACATTGCACGTGTTCCTTTTCCTCATCTCTTACCTTCAGTACGCTTCTCCTTGTTATTTCCCTTTCAAAACCTGTCCTCTAGTGCCCTCTGCGTCCCTCCTGCTCTGACTCAGAAAGTACCCTTCCTGTGTAGCAGTGCTGTGCTTTCTGTGCCTAAGTCTTTCTCCAAAGTCCAATTTGACCCATTAGACCAAGAAGTTGTTTGTGATTCACTACTGCTCTTTGCTGGGCACTAAGATAAAAGATCAGATAAAAACAAAAGGAAAAGGGTCCTCCTACTTTGAGGTCCAGTAAAGGAAACCGCCCTTCAGGGTTGGCATAGGATAGACAGTACCTACCTAGCCCAGCCTCTCACCTTGTCTTCCTCTCGCACCACATACTGGGCCACCTTGAAGGAACTGAGATATTCGTTCATATTCTGCACATCAGTGTCTTCAGTTGCATCCTGGTTTCGGTCCAACAGCCGAGCAATGGCCTCATTGTCATAGTGAATCACACTGCTGTCCTCCTCCTTGTTCTCCCCTGGGAGAGATGGGGAACAAGGGGGAATGCTTGAGTTCCAACCAAAATCTTGGGCAGAACTTTAAAAATTTCAAAGGAAAACATTTCACTTTGCTTCCCTTCCACAGGAGCTCTGTAGAAGGCCCTTTCCCTGGAAGTCAAGGTAGTGATTTGTTGTTTCAACCCTCCATGTGAGGAAAGGGGCCAATCTTTCTCCACAGACTGAATAGAACAGCTTTTCTTCAAGGGTTTCAGAAGAGAAGTGCTCTCGGGAGAGCAGGGGCCAGTTTTCCAAAGTTGCAAAAGAGGTTCTCACCCTCGTTTTCATCCTTAAATAGTTCTTCGGTGCCAAATTTGAGGATGTCATCCAGCTCCTGCTTGGACATGGAGCCCGCCTTGGAGCCCAGCCCGGGACGCACTACCAGATGTGTCAGCATCATCTTCCTCTTGGCCACTTGTGTGATTCGCTCTTCCACTGATGCACGAGTCACAAACCGGTAAATCATTACTTTGTTGGCCTGGCCGATTCGATGAGCGCGGCTAAAGGCCTGAAGGAGAGGGAGAAAGTGAGGGCAGGCCAGGAGAGAGGCAGAGGAGATACCATCCACATGGTATCTCAGGAAAGGAGGCCGCAGGAATTCTTCTATCTGTCCCCTAGAGGTTTATTTCCTTCTTTTTGTTTTTCTGTTAATCAATTCCATTGGTTTTTAGGGAGAGTAGAAGTGAGAGGAAAGGACACAGAGAAACATCATGTGAGAGAGACACATTGACTTATTGCCTCCTGCAGGAGCCTGACTAGGGCCTGGGCCAGAAGGAGCCTTCAACCAAGGTATGTGCCTTTGTCTGGGATCGAGCCCGGAGCCCTTTGGTCTGCAGGCCAATGCTCTATCCATTGAGCAAAACTGGCTAGGGGCCCCCAGAGGTTTATTTCTGACCCATGAACCAATGCCACCTTGCCAAATGGTGCAGAAGCTCTAGGAGGCGAGTTCCCACCTGGATGTCGTTATGAGGGTTCCAGTCAGAATCGAAGATGATGACAGTGTCTGCAGTGGCCAGATTGATGCCCAAACCCCCAGCTCGGGTGGACAGGAGGAAGCAGAATTGTTGGGCCCCAGGAGCTAGAAGATGTGAATGAGGAGATAAGGCTTTTCTTGTGGCCAGCAATTCAGTCTACCTGCTCCTCAACTCAAAGCCCAAGTGGCTAGTATACTCCCAGACGAGGCCCCTCCCAGCCCCGGGGCCTATGACTGGCTTCTCAGACTCCCACACACAGGACCAAGGCATTGCCCCCCTCACCATTGAACCTATCGATGGCCTCCTGCCTGAGGGCACCAGTAATGCCACCATCGATGCGCTCATACTTGTAGCCTTCGTAGTCTAAGAAATCCTCCAGCAAGTCTAACATTTTGGTCATCTGGAGCAAGGGAAAAGAAGAGTCCAGAATGAGGAGGTAGTGGGGTGTGTCCTGGCTATTCTTATTTTCCCTCAACCCCAATCTTTACCCTTGTCCCCCTGCGCTCCTATGCTCCCCTGGTGCTGCTCCTCCCCCCCCCCCCAGCCCCCGCGTTCCACATTCTTGTCATAATTTCTTCTTGATTTCAGATCATTTCTCCTACAGCAGAGACTCTTCTCTAAGACCCATAAAAAGTTTTCAATGAAATCTATAAATCCCCTAAAAACCTGTATACACTGTTTAATTGTGTAGCTTTTCTGGAGAGTGGACCCATAGCTTTCATAAGGTTTCCAAAAGGTCTGTCTCTCTTCCCCTCTCCAATAAGGTTAAGAAATAGAAATAGTTAGCAGTCCCCAGAGACCTCCTTGAAGAGGCAGATGGTTCACCCTCCCATTCTCTCCATGTGGCTTGAAAAAAACTGGCTACAACTTTCAAAGAACAGGGATCAGAGTCCAAGAGGAACTTAGCTATACCAAAAACTCTTAAGGGTGCAATCTCCTAATCTCATACCAGGGCAGGCGCAGGAACGAGGTCAGGGATTAGTCTGACGGCGAGAATGAACTAGGGGGGCTGGGTCACCTGTGAGAAGATGAGTACTCGGTGTCCTTGCTCCTTTAGCTTCCGCAGCATCTTCTGCAGCAGCATGAGCTTCCCAGACGCCTTAATAAGTGCCCCACCCTCATAAGCCCCACTGGGAAGTTTTGGGGACTCCTGAAAAAAAAGGGAGAAAGGATGAGAGGATAAGGAAACATACCCCTATATCCTAACTGTGCCTTGGAAAGCTAGAAGCCCAAACCCAGCCTCCACACCTTTTAAACTCCTACTCCCCTCAGAAATCCAGGCCCAGCGTCAGCCCTGTGCTCAACACCTCCCACTGTTAGAAAGCCAGGCATTTACTAATCAGTTCCCAGCTCTTGTATCTACCATAGCAGCCACAGGAAAGAGGTATGGATGGTTGCAGCACTTCTTAAGATCCATCATGATGTTCAGCAGAGACACTTGGTTCCCACCGCCTCGTGAATTCAAGGCCTCAAAATTTCGAGTCAGGATATACTTGTAGTATTTCCTAAAGGCCAGGGGTGGGGGTAGAGAAGAGACACAATAAAAGAAATGATTATGATGTTGCACTTGATCACCGACTCTTGGGAAGCTGCCAACAAGTGCCCAGCCCCGAGGCCAGGGAACCCGCCTCGCGCCTCACTTCTGCATGGGACTCAGCTCCACGCGAACGATAAGCTCTGTCTTGGCTGGCATGTTCTTAAAGACATCAGCCTTGAGCCTCCGAAGCATATGTGGCCCCAGCAAATCATGCAGTTTTTTAATCTGGTCTTCTTTGGATATGTCTGCAAACTCCTCCAGGAAGCCCTCCAGGTTGCTAGAAGCCAGGAGGAGATATGAGCAGCGGTCACGTTCTTTGCCTCTGACTTCAAGCTCTATTCTTCACTTCAGACGAATCCCCTACCCACTTATTTTAGCCCCTCTCCCTCTCGTTTCTGCAGACTACCCCACGGAGCTACTTACTTAAACCTTTCTGGGGTGAGGAAGTTCAGCAGATGGAAAAGCTCTTCCAGATTATTTTGCAATGGAGTCCCTGTTAGCAGTAACTTATGATCTATCTTGTAGCCATTGAGGACCCTGAAAAACTAGAAAATGGGACAAGAAGACAGGAGAGAGGGCCCATCAGTGGCAAATGGTTGGTCCACGGTATCAACCTTTTCCTGCCTACAGCTTCCATTTCCTCCAGGATCAGAGGCTGCAAATCCCCAGTCCTCACCCTCTTCCAATCTGGACTTCTCCCAGACCGTCTCAGGTATCTTGCGTCCTGGACTACAGAAAAGACCCTGCTACTTAATATTTTAGGATTGAGGCAAGTAGGAGTCCACAACCTCAAGTTTCTGAGGCCTGAGTATCTCACTCACCTTGGACTGGTTGTTTTTGAGTCGATGGGCCTCATCCACTACAAGGCAGGCCCAGCGGATGGAGCCAAGTGCTGCCTGATCAATGGTGATCAACTCATACGATGTCAGGAGAACATGGAACTTCACCTGTGCCTCCCTCTGTCAACACAACATTATCCATTCGGCTGCCACCCGACATCCAAGTCCCTAAACCCCTGTTTTCTACCAAGGCACCCTGTCCTGACCATGATTGCCAAAGGGAGTCAGTTATCCTGTCCTGCAACTTTGGCTCCATGCAGGGATTACTGAACATGACCCCAAACTTTCACCACACCCCTGGAGGTACCTACTATGTCTCCTGGGCAGGAATGTAGAGAGGTGTGGGTGGGCAAAGGGGGAAGAAGCCGGGTGAGGAATAAGTAAACTGAAATCTTGGTTGGGGCAAAGAAATGACAGGTTTGGGGTCTAAGAGGATATGAAGCAGAGGGGCTTACCTTCATCTTAAAGGCTTTCTTGCCACCTTTGATGGCATTGTCCTCAAAGGAAAACTCATTCTCACGAATGATGGCCCTGCTGTCCTTGTCACCCGTGTACGTCACCACATAGAACTTGGGTGCCCACATCTGGAACTCCCGCTCCCAATTAATGATGGTCGAGAGCGGGGCACTCACCAGGAAGGGACCCTTTGTGTGGCCCTGGGAGCACAGGGTAGGGCGGACCATTAGTCTAGGTTGTATACCCCAGTCCTCTGCCTGTCACACCCTCCCCCCATCCTCTGCCCTCCCCCTCCATTCCCTCATTCCCCAGTCCAGGCGACCTCAGCCTGGCTTCCCTCTCAGGAGCCCCAGAATCCAGCACCTCCTTATAGAGTGAGTAGAGGAAGACGATGGTTTGTATGGTCTTGCCCAGCCCCATCTCATCAGCCAGAATGGTGTCAGTGCCCTGGGCCCACGAGAAGCGTAGCCAATTCAACCCTTCCAGCTGATACATGTGCAGTGTGCCTCCGGTGGCTGTGATAAACCGTGGCTGAGTCTCATATTTCACTGTAGGCTGTAGAGTTAAGAAGTCACAAAGCTCAAGGGAACTGTCAGCTGTCTTGGTCTCCTCCTCTCTCCTCCTCCCTGGCACTGGTATCAAGATGGATTACAATTCCTTCTACCATAACCAGAGCTCATGAAAGTTCTAGCCCTTAGTCCCTCCCCCTCATTCCTTAAAACAACACCCAGCAGTACCATGAGGAAGGAAACTGGTGGAAGGGCCCTATGTGCTTCTGTCTCTAGTGGCTCTCTCATTCTTTATATCTTATTTATTTTATTTTTTGGCTCTGACTCTTATGCCAAAATTCCTAGCCACTCTTGGGGCAAGACTGAATGTTGAAGAAAGAGCTACCACTCAAAGAAGTTGTTGGAACTCTGGGAAGTCTGTCATCGCCCCTGGGAAATGCACAGTCACCACGGTGCCGGAAATGAGAGAAAGGCCAAGGGAGAGGACTTACATCGTTGGTAGGAGAATTGGGAGGCCCATCGCCCTGCAGCTCCTTCTTCTTCTTCTTATACTTTCGGGGCTGGGCGGGGTCCTCCCCCATAATTAGTTCTCTGGGAAAAGAGTGGGTCCTGAGTGAGCCTGGTTCTTGGTACCCCCACTCCTCTGAACTCATTCCAGACCCATCTCCCACTTCCCATAACCTACATTTTCTCCCACTTCCTTTCTCCCAGGCTTTTTACCCTCACCCTTAGATCTCACCTCTACAGCTAACCCTCCTTACTCCTGAGCATCCTCTTTCCCATTACTCAGGCGAAGTCATATTTCTGTTCCACACACTGCCTCTGCACCAGCCGCCCCCCAAACAACCTAGCCCAGGTACCCAATGTCCTGAATTCTAGATTGTGTCTGTCCCGACTGTACTTTATTGTGTGCGAAAGGGTTAGCTTTTATGCCCCTATCCTCAGACTCCCTCTAACCCCTGACATAGCTCCCTCACCGGTGTCTCCAGTAGCTTTGCTTATGGTCTTCATATTCAGGGATATTCATTTCATCTTCCTCCCACGTGGACTGGTCATATGGCAAATCCCTCCATTTTACTAAATAGTGGTAATTTCCCTTTTTATCCATACTGTGGGACAGGAAGAGAAAAATCATATGGATCACAAGTGGGGAAAAAAATCATAATATACACAATTATCAGCAAACACGCATAATTTGTCACTTAATCTTCAATGTTGGCCACTAAAAGGGAATTCAGAATGGCTGAAATACTACCTTCACTTTTTCAGAATGGCTTCCTAAAAATCAACTATCAAAAAACATACCTGGGGCCCTCACTAGTTTGGCTCAGTGGATAAAGCGTCGCCCTTGGGACTGAAGGGTCTCAGGTTCAATTCCGGTCAAAGGTACATACCTAGGTTGCAGGCTAGATCCCGGCACTGGTTGGGGAATGTGTGGGAGGCAACCAATTAATGTGTCTCTCTCACATTGGTGTTTTTCTTTGTCTCTCCCCTTCCCTTCTACTCTTTTGAAATACCAATGGAAAAAATATTCTTGAGTGAGGATTAACAAAAAAAACAAAACAAAATAAAACAAAAGCACCGCCCTGGACTTCAGTATCATTTGTTCATCCAATCCGTATTTACTAGGCATCTACTATATGCCAAGCACTGGTGAGTTAGGAGTGAACAGGAGACAAATGATTCTATTCTCATGGAGTTCATATTCTACTGGGGAAGGCAACAATGAAACAGAAAAATAAATTATAGCACTAGGCAGTAATAAGTACTATGAATAAAGAAATACTAAAAACACTGGTCTGTATGAATCATGTTTTTCATGCTTTGCTTTCACGCCCTGATCCTCAGACTCAACTGTCATTTCCTGTGCTATTAGAGATTAAAGGAAGTAACAGCAAAAAAGTCAGTGCTGCGCTGGGCTCTCCCCCTGGATTCTTCCATCCCCATGGAGGAAACAAGGCCAGAAGGGCTGGGGCTGCAGCAGGAGTGATTCAGATAGATCAATTATTTGGTTAATTAACAAACGCTAACATGCGGCCATACTTCCAACGAGAAAAGTGGCATATCGCAGGGCCAAGGCCTTCCCACGGACCAAGAACTCACCTGTGGTTGATGATACGGTGGACCGTCATCCACTCTGGCTTGATGCCAAAACGGTAGTATTTCTCCTCCATCTCAGCATAGTGCGGGTCTTTCACCTTGCGCTTGTCACTCTTCCCATCATCCTCACCAGAGCCGTAGTCCAGGGGTGGGGGCTCATCCATGTCATTCTTCCGTTGGTAGTTTCGGTACATCACCAAGTGGAAGATTTCCAGCTGATGGGGCACAGAGAACGGGGGGTTTTGGTTGGGGGGAGAGAGATAATCGTATCATCCCAGAGAACAAAGGGGAGGGAGCAATGGAAGAGGAAGGATGAGACACACAAATTAAAGCTAAAGCAGGAGAATACAATGAAACAGAACAGTCAGGATGTGTGCGGGGATGTAATAAGCAAAAGAGGCAGGGAATGAGTTTATTAAGATTGAGACTATAGCCCTAACCAGTTTGGCTCAGTGGATAGAGGGTGGGCCTGCGGACTCAAGGGTTCCAGGTTCGATTCCCATCAAGGGCATGTATGGTGGTTGCGGGCACATACCCCATAGGGGGGAGTGTGCAGGAGGCAGCTGATTGATGTTTCTCTCTCATCGATGTTTCGAACTCTCTATCCTCCTCCCTTGTTCTCTGTAAAAAATCAATAAAACATACTAAAAAAAAAAAAAAAAAAGATTGAGACTATAGCCCAGCCAGCATGGCCCAGTGATTTAGCATTGACTATGAACTGGGAGGTCATGGTTTGATTCCCGGTCTGGACAAATACCTGGGTTGTGGGCTCAATCCTCAGTCTGAGGTATGCAGGAGGCAGCTGATTGATGATTCTCTCTCACCATTGATGTTCTATCTCTCTTTCCCTTTTCCTTCCTCTCTGAAATCAATAAAAATATATTTTAAAAAATGATTGAGAATTAATTAAAACATGGTTAAAGTTAGATAAGAGATGGGATTAAGGAAGACTATGTTATATCTGAGGTTAGAAATCTAATGAAAACTAAGAGAAAGGACTAGAGACCAAGAACACCACATTTGCAAACTAAGAGAGTAGGTATGGTGTGAGGGCCTAAGGCTTGATGTGAGGGAAGAACAGAAAATGGAGGGGTGGGAGAGAGAATTGCAGCAAAGGGGGTCACAGGACAGGGGGCAAGGAAAGGCCCTTGTACCTGAAGCTCCTTGGCCCAGGAGCAGTGCCAGTAGGAGAGTCCTACCCACTTGACAAAGAACTCTCGCTCTGATCTGCCTTGAAGAGGACGAGGAGGTGGAGCATCTGGATTGCCATCTACCTGCTGGGGGGCCGGCATGGCCACGGGCGGTTCCCCCCACCGCCAATGCAGGATCTTCTGCACACGGCCTTTCAGCATGGGGCACTTCAGGATGGACACACACGAGGCGGAAAGAACAAGGCAGAAAGAGCCCATCGTTAGAATAGGAGAGGGATCCCACAAGGAATCTAGGGCTGAGTGTGGGGGAGAGCCAGAGAAAGAGCTAAACGTTTGGGTCCCGGGGCTGACAGTAAACGCTGAGAGATGGGTACACTCACTGTGCATCGGGGACACAGCCATTCACCGTTGGGGATGTCAGGCAGGGGTGGGTTTAGACAATGAATGTGGTAGGAGGAGATGCAAGCGTCACAGCACAAGAGCTCCCCACCATCCTTGCACACACGGCAGTATTCCATGTGATCGTCTTCTTCTTCCTTCTCCCCTTCTTCCTCTCCCTCCTCTTCATATTCCTCCTCCTCGTCCTTGGCCTCCCACTGTACCCCCTCCTTCTCCTGGGAGGCCAAGGAAAGACACAGAGACAGACAGAAGAAAGGAAACAGGAGTGAGATTGGAAGATAGAAGCAAAGACAGGACACCCACACCCTAGAAGTGCCTGGAAGACTGGTGGGAACAAAAAAACAGGATGTCTACGTTTCTATAAATGTTGATTTGGGGAGCAAAGGGATGGGGAGAGAAACAAACTAGAATCTCGGTCACTTAAACGTGTTACTGAGAAGCCCAGGCATCTGGGCATAAGAAGGGGACAATTGAAACCAAGGAGGAAAAGACAGGTGGGTCCCTGAGATGCCGACACCAGGTACTCACACAGTGGGGGCAGCTCCATTTGCCCTCAGGAGCCCGGTCAAGCTCAGGATCAAGGCAGACGAGGTGGTAGGCACGAGGGCAGGTGTCGCACAGAATAATTTCCCCACCCTGCTGGCACACCTCACAGTAATCCTGGTGATCCGTCTCGTAGCCATCAACCTCCTCCTCCCCGGCCACTGCAGGACAGCCCAGGACTGTCATACACCCCGGTGGAGGCCAAGGAACAGAGAGAAAGAAAGAGGGGTTGGGGAGCAGGGTGGGGGGAGGGGGGGATTGGGGGATTAAGAGGGAAGGAAAGAGGGAGAAAGGGAGAGAGGGAGACAGAGAAGGGTTTGAATAAAGAAGTCAAAACTGAAACTAAGAAAGACAAAGAAGGAGTGAAAGGAAAGCACACACAGCTGACAGCCCGTACCCTTCTTCTTCTTTCTTCCTGGCCGGCCTCTCTTTAGTTTCTTGGTGCGGACAGGGCCATCAGGACGGCCTGAGGCACTGTGGACACTGCCACTGTCCAGGTCTGACTCCTCAGCCTCTGGTTCGGGGCCCTCGTCATTCTGAAAAACATACTGCCCACAGCCCCGTGGCGGTCAGAGAGGTGGACTTGATTTCACTCCCTCCCCAGGCCTCTGGCTCCCACTCCAGCTTCCCTCAAAGACCCTCTGTCTGGACACCCGCCCCGCCCCCCCAAAACCTTGACTCCCTGAAAGTGGATAGCGAACAAGGAAGGGCCACTCACGGAGCCTTTCTTCCTCTTGCCGCCCAGAAGCCCTAGCCTGATTTTGAGTGGCGTCATCTTCTTTCCCCGAAGCTTCTTGCGTCCGTCAGGCACTCGGGGGCTCTTACTCCGCCTCTTATGGCCCGGACCTGAATGAGGAGTGGCACGAGGGAGAAAAACCAGAGGTCATGACATCCTGGGATAACAGAGGCCACAGAGATCCTTTCTGTGATTTCACTGAGAAAGCTTCTTGGAAAACACTTATCCCGCAACAATCAGGACTGAGAGGATAAGAGAGTTCTAGACTATAATTTGAGAACATGTGGTTTGGAGGGTGGGGTGACAGTTGTTCAAAGAGGGTTTCTCACCTTTGCCCTCTTTGGTTTTGGCTCTTCGGATGGGTGGGGGTTGGATATCAGCAGCAGGTGGGAGTGGAAGGGCAGGGGATCCGGAAGGTGCTATGGGCGTGGCCGATGAGACGGCAGCTGACACCTGCTCAGCTACAGCTGCCGCCGCTGCCGCCGCTGCCGCCGCCACGGCTGCTGCTGACCCCTTGAAGGGGTTATTGGCACTGAACTCTCTCCACTTGGCCCCCAGGATGGTCATCATCTTAGACATTGGGATCTTAGGATTCTTCTTAGCAATTAGGGGCCTGTAAACATAGAAGCAGAAGACTCAGATCTTTTACAGATGTTCTGGGAACACTGCCATTTCCCCTTATCAACTAAGTCTATGTACAAGCTAGGATTCCTGAGTGGCGGCAGTATGTCCTATTAAGAATAATAGCAATTTGCCCTAGCTGCTTTGGCTCAGTAGATAAAGCATTGGCTTGTGGACTGAAGGGTCCCAGGCTCCATTTTGGTCAAGGGCACATGCGCGAGTTGTGGGGCTCCATCCCCAGCGGGGAGCATGCAGGAGGCAGTCGGTCAATGATTATCTCTCATAATCGATGTTTCTATCTTTCTCTCCCTCTCCCTTACTCTCTGAAATCAATGAAAATATAAATTTTAAAAAATTAAAAGAATAACATCAATTTGAAAATAAAAAGTTTAAAAAAAAATGGTTAAATAAAACAAAATTTTTTAAAAATAGAAAAAACATTTAAATGCACAGAAGATAAAAAGGTTAAAAGTGACATCAATAAAAGTGCTTTACTTTTGAACATTTTACAGTTCATAAAATACTTAAATATATAATACACCTTTTTTTGTTGTTGTTGTTAATCCTCACTGAGGACATTTTTCCATTGATTATTTTAAAGAGTGAAAGGGAGGGAGGAGTCAGAGAGAGAAACATTGATGTGAGAGAGACACACACCGACCATTTGCCTCCCGCATGCACCCCAATCAGGGACTGGGATCAAGCCTGGAAGTGAGGTATGTGCCCTTGACCAGAATCGAACCTGGGACCTTCAGTCTGCAGGCCAACACTCTATCCACTGAGCCAAATCGGCTGTGGCCATTACACCTTACTTTATCCTCACAATAATACTCTGAGTTGCCATGATTCTCTGAGTGTTCTAACAAGTTCCATGAGCCCTGATGAAGGATGCCATCTGATGGAGTCTGATGGGCCATGCTCTTTTGGGGATCTGGATGACTTTAATATCCTTTCAATTGATTTAATATTCTTTAGCAGTGAGGTGAGACAATAGTACTTAATAACGGCTACCAGGTACTGAATGCTCCCTGGGAGCCAGGCACCGACTGTACTGAGCTCTCCAATCATCATCCCATCAAATCCTGACAAGACCCCTATGAGTTACATATTATCACATCCCTACTTTACTGATGTGAAGTAACTTGCCCACAACACCAGGACCTGAACCTCCGTAGGCTGCCTCCAGAGTACTGACCTGCTATGTCACAGTGCCTGCGCCCTAAAAGGATCTCTGCTATACTCTACTTGGGAGCCATAGAAGCTCAGGTGCTGCTGCCTGCAATGCACCCTTCATTATTACCAGGGCCCAAGGTAGGGGAAGAGGACCGGATAACGGAGCAAAGAAAATTGAGGCATGCAGTTGCTATCTCTCAGCTGCCGTCTAGAGCGAAGTCATACAGGAGAAGCTGGAACTCTTGGAGCAAGAAGGAGTGCCAGCCCCTCTCTATGTTTTGTCACTAGAGCATTTTCTAACCTGGTGCTGGAACTGGGACCCTCCCCCACCTGTGAAGGGTTCCAGACTGTGGTCGTTGGATCCTTAGAAGTCTAGGGATTCCCTAAAATTACACTGGAATTTTGTGTACGTGCTGTGAATTTCTCTGGAGATCAGTTTCAGAGGGGCCAGGGCCTCCCCAAAATAAGAAGATCTGTTCCCGAGGACTCCCCAGGCCCAGCGCACCTCATGAACTGGCTGAAGGCTTTGTAGTTGGTCAGTGTGTGGTAATCCTCCTCCGAGAACACGTGCTCCACGTCCTCCAGGCCCCAGGTGAGGAGCAGAGTGGCTGATGACTTCTGCTCCACCGGCTGGGAGACAGCAGGCTGCAGTGAGGCGGGGCGTGCTCCTCCAGGCCCCATCCGGGCCTGGGAAGCTGGTGGGCCCTCCCTCCACCAGCTTCCCTGGGTCTCCTGCTTCATGTTCCATTCTCCAGCCCAGCCCCCTCTTCTCCCCCATTATCGCCTCTCCATGTAGCAAAAGCCCCCTTTGGGGTTCTCCCTCCTCACATCTGTCTTTACTAATTTCCCCCCCTCGCTCCCTAATTCTACTCACCTTTTGCCCCCCCTCTCCCTCCCCTTTTTTCCGCCGCTTTGTCTTCTTCTCCTTTTTTTCTCGGTGCTTCCGTCTCCGCTTCCGACCGGGTCCAGTTCCACATTCGCTCCCTCCGCTCTCCGACTTCTCCCGGTACTCATCTCGCTCAGAGCCAAATTCCTCTTCGCTGTCCTAAGGGAGAGAAATAAAAACAACAGTCCTTCAGCCCTACCACGTGCTAGGAACCGTTCTTAGCCCATAACACATATTGTCTCTTTTAATCTTCACAACAATCCTGAGATAGTAACTAACCTATTTTTATCCACGTTTGTGTTTGTGAGTTTCTGCAGATGAGGAAACTGAGGCACAGAGAGCTGAATAAATTGTCCAGAGGACAAATTCATGCAGTCTACGTCCTGAGCCTATGCTTTCAACTGCTGCTCTCTGTTGCTAAGGCAAGTTACATAGAAAGCTAGGCTCTTCACTGTTGTAGTAAGTGAAGTTAGGGTCCCAGACACACGAGATACAGGCCAGCAAGAGATGCGGGGGGTTGGTGGTGTGTGTGTGTGTGTGGGGGGGTGTTGATGGTGTGTGTGTGGGGGGTGTTGATGGTGTGTGTGTAGGGTTGATGGTGTGTGTGTGGGGGGGTGTTGATGGTGTGTGTGTGGGGGGGGTGTTGATGGTGTGTATATGTGTGTATAGGGTTGATGGTGTGTGTGTGTGGGGGGGTGTTGGTGTGTGTGTGTGGGGGGGTGTTGATGGTGTGTGTGTGTGTGTGTGTGTGTAGGGTTGATAGTGTATGTGTGGGGGGGGGTGTTGATGGTGTGTGTGTGTAGGGTTGATGGTGTGTGTATGTGTGTGTGGGGGTGTGTGTGTGGTGGTGTGTGTGGTGTGTTTGATGGTGTGTGCGGGAGGAGGTAGGTGTGATGGTATGTGTGTGTGTAGGGTTGATGGTGTGTGTGTGTGTGTGGGGGGGTGTTGATGGTGTGTGTGTGTGTGTAGGGTTGATGGTGTGTGTGTGTGTGTGGGGGGGTGTTGATGGTGTGTGTGTGGAGGGTGTTGATGGTGTGTGTGTGGGGGGGTGTTGATGGTGTGTGTGTGTGTAGGGTTGATGGTGTGTGTGTGGGGGGGGTGTTGATGGTGTGTGTGTGTGGGGGTGTTGATGGTGTGTGTGTGGAGGGGTGTTGATGGTGTGTGTGTAGGGTTGATGGTGTGTGTGTGTGTGTGTGTGTGTAGGGTTGATAGTGTATGTGTGTGGGGGGGTGTTGATGGTGTGTGTGTGTGTAGGGTTGATGGTGTGTGTGTGTGTGTGTGGGGTGTTGATGGTGTGTGTGTGGGGGTGTTGATGGTGTGTGCGGGAGGTGTTGATGGTATGTGTGTGTGTAGGGTTGATGGTGTGTGTGTGGGGGGGTGTTGATGGTGTGTGTGTGTGGGGGGGTGTTGATGGTGTGTATATGTGTGTATAGGGTTGATGGTGTGTGTGTGTGGGGGGGTGTTGGTGTGTGTGTGTGGGGGGGTGTTGATGGTGTGTGTGTGTGTGTGTGTGTGTAGGGTTGATAGTGTATGTGTGTGGGGGGGGTGTTGATGGTGTGTGTGTGTGTAGGGTTGATGGTGTGTGTATGTGTGTGTGGGGGTGTTGATGGTGTGTGTGTGGGGGTGTTGATGGTGTGTGCGGGAGGTGTTGATGGTATGTGTGTGTGTAGGGTTGATGGTGTGTGTGTGTGTGTGGGGGGGTGTTGATGGTGTGTGTGTGTGTGTAGGGTTGATGGTGTGTGTGTATGTGTGGGGGGTGTTGATGGTGTGTGTGTGGAGGGTGTTGATGGTGTGTGTGTGGGGGGGTGTTGATGGTGTGTGTGTGTGTAGGGTTGATGGTGTGTGTGTGTGTGGGGGGTGTTGATGGTGTGTGTGTGTGGGGGTGTGTGTGTGGAGGGGTGTTGATGGTGTGTGTGTAGGGTTGATGGTGTGTGTGTGTGTGTGTGTGTGTAGGGTTGATGGTGTGTGTGTGGAGGGGTGTTGATGGTGTGTGTGTAGGGTTGATGGTGTGTGTGGGGGGGGGTGTTGGTGTGTGTGTGTGTATAGTTGATGGTGTGTGTGTGTGTGTGGGGGGGGTGTTGATGGTGTGTGTGTAGGGTTGATGGTGTGTGTGTAGGGTTGATGGTGTGTGTGTGTGTGTGGGGGTGTTGATGGTGTGTGTGTAGGGTTGATGGTGTGTGTGTGTGTGTGTGTGTGTAGGGTTGATGGTGTGTGTGTGTGGGTGGGGGGGAAGCAGGACCAGAAACAATTTAGGTCTCTGGGAATGGGTCTCCTGAACCTTATTGCAGAGACAGAAATCTTTAACACTTACAAGCTTCTTGCGTTTTCGGGGTTTTCCTGGCTTGTTCTCCTTCTGTTTCTTGGGTCCCCGTTTTCTCTTCTTCACACCCAATGCCGAAGGCAGCAGTCGAATGTCATCCTTCCCTTTGGAGCAGAGAGTAACAGAAAACCTAAGCTTCTGGGCTCCCAGTCTAGACAGCCCCTTGACCTCACCCTTCCTTCCTTAGTTCCTACTTCTCACTTTTTAGGAACCCCAGCGTTAACTCCTCCAAACCTTGACTGTTTTCACTGGATGCAAACAGTCTTTTGAGTACTCTGGAGGGAAGTCAAGGGTCAGAAGAAAAGAGCAGCCAAACCACTCCCTTCTCTCCCCTCCTACTAACAAGGGACCAGGCTCTAGGTCATGGGCTCCGACTGTGGCAGGTCCTTTCAGTCGCCGCCAGGGCTCCTCCTGCCTTCCAGAACCTCTCTTCGCCAGCTGGCGTCCTGCCCGGGAACTGGGGAAGCCATGCCCAGCTGCTGGCCTGGCCCGACCCCAGCACTTGGAGTGGGGAGACACAAGCTGGCAGCTCCCGAAGCCAGATGCTGCGAAGGGAGAGCCAAAGGTGGACACCTGGGTTCTCACTCTAACACCCCGGGGCCCTTCACATCCTTTTTGTGAAGAGGGAGGCCTCTATATTCCTGCAGATGATCACCCAGCCTCCCGTCACCCCAACACAGCCTGGAGGAAAAGACATTATCAGCTGGTCACTTTCACTTCTGGCTCACAGGTTCACAGTTTCTGGCTCCTTCATCACACCCAAACCCTACAGTAGAAAGTGTCCATAATTATCTAAATACTAGAGGCCCGGTGCATGAAATTTATGCACGGGTAAGGTCCGCAGGCCTGGCCAGCGATCAGAGCCGATTGGGGCCTTCCAGCTGCTGGCCAGGGCTTTCCTTCTGGCTGCTGGCTGGGGCCTCCCTTCCTAGCTGCCAGTCAGAACCTTCCTTCGTTCTGCACCTCCCCCAGGTGGTCAGTGCACATCATAGTGATCGAACTCCCAGTCTTCTGGCCAAACTCCCAAGGGGACACTTTGCATATTAGTCTTTTTTTTTTTTTTTTTTCATATTAGTCTTTTATATGCATATAGACTAGAGGCCCGGTGCATGAATTTGTGCACCAGAGGGGTCCCTCAGCCTGGCCTGTAGGATGGGGCCAAAACCGGCTCTCTGACATCCCCTGAGGGGTCCCAGATTGCAGGAGGGTACAGGCCAGGCCCAGGGACCCCACTATGCACGATCAAGGCCTCAGGGTCAGGGAGGGACACAGGAAGTTGGCCAGACGGGGAGGGACCGTGGGTAGGTTCCAGAGCGTGTCCGGCCCCTCTTGCTCAGTCCCGATTGGCGGGACAGCAGCAGCAAGCTAATCCCCTGGTGGTCAGTACATGTTATAGTGAGAGGTTGAGCATCCTTAGGATATCATTAGCACATTATGCTCTGATTGGTTGAACGGCTAACTGGATGACTGGACTCTTAGCATATTAGGCTTTTATTATATAGAATTCCTCCTCCTCCTCCTCCTAAGCAGCCTGGAATCTGCCTTCAAATCTATTTCTATATTCCTGATCCCTTTGGGAACTCTAGGGCCCTATTCTTTGTCCCTTGGTCTCACCCTTCATTTCCAAATTTAGTTCCAGACATCCTGACCATTCATAAATAAACAGTATGGGAGGCCCAGGCAAAGATAACAGAGACACACCCTGCAATTATATTATCATATGCACAAGCATACACTCATACTTACAAGCACACATGGAGAATAGCCTGTACCTGCTTTCAGCAGGGCTACTAGGTTCCCTAACTTTCTCTCCACATGTCTGTCAGAGAGGCAGGGGCTGGTTCTTCCCTGATTTTCCCCCTGCTAGTCTGTGGAGGCTTAGGAGACAGAGTTACTCCGTGCAGAGGAAGGCACTGATGCTACACAGACATGAAGCCCTGATTGGCTTCGCTCCCACAGCAAGCATTAGACTAACCAGCCAGACCTGTCTTGTCAGGCAGAGGTGGCTGTGCTGGAGACAAGCAGCGCTTGGCCCAGCCCCTTGCTCCAGGACACACAATCCTTCCTCCCACAGCAGCCAAGGGAAAATTAGCCACAATTAACACTGGAGGCCTATTTCCATTGCCTCAGAATCCCTTCAATGCTGTTCTTCCTAACTCCTGGATTCTGTGTCCTCTCCTGCAGGAAGACATTCTAGGAATTAGGGGGGCTGGGGAGGGGAGGGAGAGTTCCTGCAGAAAGCTCCCCGCCCTCCGGGGATTGGGGGGTGGGGGGCAGAGTGAAAACTGTAATAGGAAATAGGAAGTCAGTAAGTCGCTATGCCTCAGCAGTCAGCGCTCCCTAACCCCAGGGACTGAGATTAATATGAACATGGAAACGGGGCTGCCGCCGGGCGAGTGGCAAAAGCAGGCCAACTGGCTAAGGCTCAGGGAAGCCGCCCGGGTCACCACCAGCGGGGGGTGGGGCACGCGCCCTGGGACCTCGCCGCCAGTCACGGCCAATCCCCAGCCCAGCAGGCTTCCGGGCTTCGGAAGAAGGCGGCGGTGGGGAGAGGCTAGGTGGTATGGCTAGGAAAGGAAAGGGAGGGCAATAAGGCAGATCTAAATCCCAACCTCTGTCTCACCAGCCACTCAATGCTGGCCCGGAGCCCAGACTCTCCACGGCCCCGGCCCCGGCTCGGATCGCGGGAAGACGGCGGGAGGAGGGGAGGAGGGCGGGCGGGGCCCGGCGGCGGCGGAGGGAGCGGGCGGAGCCTCGCCGCAAGCCTCGCCTCTCGCCCGCCCCTCTCCTAATCTCACCATCAATCTCTCACACATATATTTATTTTTTTCTCAAATTCCCTTCCCTCCCCCACCACGAACCACCATAATAGGTCTGCTGCACATGCGTATTGCACGCAGGGGGTGGGTTTGTATCTTCAGACCTTTTGCAAAGAAACTACCAGAATTTTCCGCACCACCCACAAGCCTTCCCCACCCCCACCCCGAGGAATCGCATCTATATATTATGTTATATTATTTCTCCAGACTTGCCAGAAGGGGGAGGGAGAGAAGAAATGAGTTTTGGGCTTCCTGCTCCCTTCCCCCACCAATGCGAGTGCTATTATTTTAAACGCTTAACAATGTAAGGAGGCTGGAGAGGGGGGAAGGGATAACATTGGTCCTGGGTAAAAATGTAAGACAAAATGGTGAGAATCAAAGCAGTCAGAACGAAAAACAATAGAAACCTCTAAGACGCGCAGAGAAAAGGACGAGGGAGGGCGGCCCGAGCACACTTCCTCGGAGGAGGGTGATGTGCCCACACTCAGAAAGGCAGAAAGAAGGAGCAGACTAAAAATATTTCCCCAAAGTTTTACCCCAGAAAGTCACCTCGGGTCACCGATGTGACGAGGAGGGCTGAAAGGGAGAGAAAATTGCCCTGGGAGACAAGAGGAGGTGGATTTTCAATTCAAATAAAGAATTTTAAAAAACATCTGACGTCTCTTCTGTTCTATTCAGAAAGCAGAGAGGGGAGGGGAGGGAGCGCTGACACAAAGACCCATCGCAACCTCAGGTTCTCTCCTGCTCCTCTCACACACCTAAACCCGCGGTCAAAAACCCCCAGTACCACACTCCAAGTCCGAAATGCAAATAGGTGACAGCTGCCAGTCCCCCATCGTTACCTGACGTCCTCTTTCCCCCTTTTCTTGGCCCCTGGGGCTGCTGGGGGGGCCCCTTCCCTCCCCAGAGTTCTTTATTCCCTTTCCCTCCAGCAAACCAAGGGGCTCCCTGGGTAACTTTGTAAAAACTTTTCCCTTTTCCAGAGAAGCCTGGCGGTGGCGGAAAGGGCTTTATCCTGTCCCACCGGACAGGCAGCCTCCTGCCCTCACAGAAGCCCCCTCCCCTCCCCTCCCCTCCCCCAGGGAGCTCCGCCACAGGCGCCACACGGATCGATGTGACAGTTTCACAAAGAGCGTGATGTTGGGTGTTTTGAAGTTTGGTGCATTGGTGCTAGGTGTGGACACCCCCTTTCGTTCCCCCAGCAGAGGGTGTGGACCCCCTAAAGGTGCTCGCCTAGAAGTCACCCCCCGGGGGAGCGGGCTGAGGGGGGGCGGTGGCTGGGCCCCGGGTGCGAGCTGCGGCCTCTCCCTCCGCAGCCGGAGGAGCTGCCCGGAGCGCCGGTGGCCTGTCATGGGGGGGGGGGGGGGGGTGCTGAGTGACGGCCGGGCCGGGCCGCCGAGCCGAGGGGTGGGCAGGTCACACCCCCAACCCGGTCAGGGTGTGGGTGGTTTCAGCGAGAGTGACAGTGAGTGGCAGCCACGTGAGAGTCATGGCTGGGCAGCGCGGCCACCGCAGACTGACAGGGTCAGGGGGGCGGGGGGGCGGGGGGGCGGGGGGCTGCGCACTTGACACAAAAGAGCCCTGAGCGGAGGGGATGGAATTCGGGGCATCTGCACTCCCAGACCCCGGCCCCCCGCCCCTATTCTGAGTGCCTGGTCTCCCCGGGACGAGCTGCGGCTCCAGGAAGTGGCTGCGGGGAGTGTGGCCGCCACCTGCCCGGTCCCCCGCGGCCCACAGACACGCGCCCCCCCCCCCCGCCCGCCCTGAGGTGGCGGAGCCCGAGGTCCCGACGGACACCGCCCCCCCCCCCCCGGCCGCCTTCCCGGCTCCTGAGGGGAGAGGGTGAGGGCCGCGGGCCGCCCCACACGCGGGAACCCCACTTCACCTCAGCCCTCCCCCACCCGGGCCGGAGCCCGCGGGGCGCCCGCGCGGCCGCCCCTCCCCACGCCCCTCCCCCACGCCCGGCCGCCGGGGTCTCCGCGGCCCCGCGCGCGGCCAGGGAGGGGGCCCTGGCTTCGCCGCGGCCGTTTCCTGCCTGCCCCCTCCCCGCCGAGGGGAAAAAAACCTCCTCCGCCTCCTCCCCGAAAGCCGCGACCGAGCGGCCCGGGCCGCGCGCGCAGCTCGCGCCCAGCGCTCCCGGGCGGCGGGAGGGGGAGGGGGCGCGGAGGGAGGAGGCCTGGCCCCGCGGCCGCCGCCGCCCGGACCGCCCGGACCGCCGCCCCGCGCCCCGGATTCGCCTCGGGTCGGCCGCGCGGCGGGTGCGTCGCCCCAGCCCGGCCCCGCGCGGCGGCTCCCTCGGGCCGGGGCGGGGTGAGTCGGCGGCCGCTTACCTGGCGGCGGGGGCGGCGGGGGCGGCGGCGGCGGCGGCGGGAAGAGGTGGCAGCCGGGGGGGCTGTGGCGGTCGCGGTCGCGGCCCCGGTCGTGGCCCGGCCCGCGCCCGAGGATTCCCTCGTCGTCGTCCTCGTAGTCTTCGTCGGCCGCCTCCACCTCCTCCTCCTCTTCGTCACCCTCATCTTCCTCCTCTTCTTCCTCCTCCGACACCACCATCTCCTCCTCCTCCTCCTCCTCGTCCCTCAGAGGGGAAGCCATCCTGTGGCTCTGGCCCCCCCACCACCCCCCCACCCACCGCCCGCCCGCCTCCCCCACCGCTACCACCACCACCTCCTCCTCCTCCTCCTCCTCCTCCTCCTGCTCGGCGGCGGCCTCCTCCTCCTCCTCCTCCTCAGCCGCCCCCAGCCCCCCAAACCCCCGGGTCGCCCCCCGCCGAAACCCCCACCCTCGGGGCCGCCGTCTGAGGAGGGGGGCCAAGCCGCCCCGAAATTGTCTCTTGGAAAAAAAAAAAATTGAGGAGAGACTTTTTTCTTCTCGCCTTCCAAGAGAACAAGAAAGGAGGATTTTAAAAATATATAAATATATATATAAAAGTTTTCGACTTCTCTCTGCCCCCCTCTCCGTGACTTTCAATATATTTAAATTCTGAGGGGGGCGCTCAGAAATATTTCTCAGAGCTGAGGCACTAAGATGGCCGCCTTGAAATTATTTTTAAAACAGCCCCCCCTGCAGCACCGCCACCCCCTCCACGAAGAAAGGGAGAGGGGGGAAAATCCCCTTTTCAAACAAGATGGCTGGCTTAATATTTCATTTTCACCCCTGCCCCCTTCTCCTCCCTGCTACACCCCCATCTCCCAGCTTCTACCCAGAAACCCGCAGATTTCTCCCTTTTTTCATAACTGATTAGGGCACAGATTAATAGAGATATTTTCCTGTGTACTGAGTGTGTGTGTGAGGGAGTGTGTGCGCGCAGGGAGGGGGGGGGCATGAAGGATTTCTGCATAAAACAAAAATGGCTGCTGTGACTAACTCCCCCTCATAAAAATATTCGAGGGGGGGCATTAATCAGTACTCATGCTCAGTCTGACATCAGCATAAATTGTTAAAGGTTAACTAGTTAGATACTAGTCCAACTACATTTAAATTTTTTTTCTTCTTTTCTTTACTAGTCTCTTCCTCCCCACCTCCCTTCTCTAAAGAAAAGCGCTTTTTTTTTCTTCCCTGAATACTTCAGAAGGGAGTGGTTTGATGTGAAGGTTTTTTTTTTTTTTTCCCTTCAGGCATTGAAAAGGAAAAAAGATGAAATATATGTTTATATTTAACTGTTTCTACATACCTCATTGGAGTCAAAACGCGTTTAATCGTGCACATACCTTTTAAGTGAGAAGGGATACTGGATTTTTCTTTTCTTTTAAAAAGTGGTAGAAATCCTTGTGACTTTTGGGAGAAGAGATATGAATAGATACAATGATTGAGGTGTTGTTTTTTTTTTTTTAAAGGAGTCCATGTTTGATTCTCCCCTTTGCCCAGCCTTTTCAGTGATTAATATTGTTGTATATTTTACCTTCACTCTTCTCCGTTACCTTGCCCTTCCCTTCCCCGAGTATAATATTCATCTGACTTAGGAAATTAATTTAGGGGCAAATTGAACGGATTTTTTTTTTTAGAATAAAGGGGAAATAATCAGGTCTGAAGATTGTGAAATGATTTTCTCTTTTCTCCTTTTTCAGTATATTTCCTTTCTTCCATGATCTCAACACTGATAAAGTGAAAGAAAACTAACGTAACCATGACAGAGAAAAGTAGCTGGAACTGAGAAAAAAAAGAGGTAGGGGATTATACTCCCATTTTCATCTGATTCTGACCCTTGATTTTTAACTGTACCCAGTGTTTATCTTTAAAATGGCATCAGGAATCAAATGGAAGATTGAAAAGGAGTCAAAAGTAGCTTTCTCATCCAGAGGCTTGATCGGAGAAGTCGTAAAATAAAATTTGCCAGTTGAGCAAAGCAAGGGCAAACAGCTCGGTTCTAGCTTTTTTGTTCTTGTCATCCTTTTCTTACTCTAGTTCCTTCTTATTCTTTTCACCTCATTTTGCCCTTTGCTTCCCATCCTATGTCTATGGAACCATTTCTCTTCTGGGTTATTTCCCTGGATCTTAAATATGGGTGCCAGTGACACAGCAACTCTGCAGTATTCAGGAGCACTTTTAGAGAGAGGGGTAGTAGGCAGCAACCACAAAGTATCAGTGACAAGGAACACTGCAGATTTTTGCTCAAGAGGCTAAAATGTTCTTTATTGATGTATCACGCTCCCCCCTCCCCCATACACACACACTAATGTACTTTATTGAGCATTGATTTCCATCTTTTTCTTAAGCTGGCCTTTGGGATTATCTTGCCTCTGCTCCCGTATCATTCCTGTGAGTCTAACTCTTATCCCTCTTTCATTCGATTGTATTATGTCCTCTTAGTCTCTCTTCCCCCTAGACTGTCTGAGTATTCCCTTTTTTTCTGAATATGGGCTTCTCGGGATGTGTCTTTATTTTTCACTCATCCCTTTGACCCTCAGGTTCTATACCTCTGAACAGTTATCCATGTCTGTCTTCGTTCTGTTTACTTCTGTCTTCCAGGATCTGACTGCATGTGCCTCTTCCTTATGTCTGCCTGACTCCCCCCCTCTTTCTGGCTCCTCTGCGTGAGCCTGGGAAGAGTGTCCTCATGTGTCTGTTGACAGCCCTACACATCATGTGCACCACAGTCTCTGCCTCTGTGCCCTCTCCCTCCGTGCTGAGCGCCTCTTTCTGCGGGGGATCAGGCCACATGTGTCATGAGCTGCAGGTGGGGTGGCTAAAGGCGGCTGTGTGTGTCCCTGTACAAACATTCATCATTCTCACGAGTGTGCTGTGCATATAGATCTGTTAATTTGCCTGATTCTTCCTCTTCTCCATCTCCCCCTCTTCCTGCCTGCTTCTCCTGCTCTCTTCTCTCCCTACTGACTCTCTTGATTTTTCTTCTTCTGTCCTTGTTTCCGCCTGTTTCTCTACCTGCTTACTCCTATTATGGTGTCTGTCTGCCTGCCTGCCGATCTGCTCCTCCCTGACTGGCTGCCAGCCTATTTCTCTCCCTGGTTGTCTGTTTGCTTCTCTGGCTGTTTGCCCACCACTTTCTCTTTAGCCATCTGTCTCCCCGCCTGCCTGTCTCTATCACTTTTTTAGTCTTGGTTTGTCTACCTTCCAGGCCTTGCCATGGTTCCCTGTATTGGTTTGTCTCAATCTTACCCTTCTACTTGTTCCTCCTTTTATTTATGCCTGTTAAGTTCATGATTTTTTTTTTTTTTTTGCCTCCCTTTATGTCTGTCTTCTTGCCTACTTGCTTGCTGCTGTCCCACTGTTTAATGTTTGTATCTCTTTTTGTTGTTGTTGTTAATAGATTTTAATTGATTTCAGAGAGGAACGGAGAAGGAAAGAGAGAGAGAGAGAGAGAGAGAGAGAGAGAGAGAGAGAGAGAGAGAGAGAGAGAGAGAAACATCAATGGAGAGGTTCATTGATAGGCTGCCTCTTGCATGCCTCCTACTGGGAATCAGGCCTGTAACCTGGGCATGTGCCCTTGATCGGAATTGAACCTGGGACCCTTCAGTCCACAGGCCAACACTCTATCCACTGAGCCCAACTGGCTAGGGCAATGCTTGTATCTTTTCCGTCTACCTGCTTATCAGCTTTTTCTCCCTTGGCTTCCTCTATCTCGGCATCCCATCAGTGATGATGGGCTTTCTACCCCAAACCTCTCAGTGAACCCATTACTCCAAAGTCTTATCGTCCTTCTTGCCATATTCCTTGCCTTCTCTCATTGATTACTTCCATTTCATTTGTCTCTTTTTGTCTTTCTGGTTCCTCAGTCAGCCTGCCTAAGTCTTCCTGCCATTTTGCTGTCTTTCTGCCTTGCTGGCTCTGTTGTCCACATCTCTGCTTGCTTTCCTTTTTCTTCTTATTTTTTTTTTAATATATATTTTATTGATTTTTCACAGAGAGGAAGAGAGAGGGATAGAGAGTTAGAAACATCAATGAGAGAGAATCATCGATCAGCTGTCTCCTGCACACCCACTACTGGGGATGTGCCCGCAACCAAGGTACATGCCCTTGACCGGAATCGAACCCGGGACCCTTCAGTCCGCAGGCCGACGCTCTATCCACTGAGCCAAACCAGTTTTGGCATTTTTCTTCTTATTTTAAATAGACAGTACATACACATGGTATAAAATGTTTTAAGCACTAAAAATGTCCTGTGAAGAGTAAGCCTCTCTTGCTATTCCCCCTACCTTTAGTTCTTCCCTCAGAGATGCTCACTACTTCACATTTCTTAGATATTGTTTCAGAAAAGAGTCTACATATATATGTCTACTTGCTTTTTGCTACACTCTTTCCTACTTCTCTCCTAGTTCTACTGACTGCTTCTTCCTCTGTTAGCCTGTCAGTACTGCTTCCTATTTCACTGGGCTTACCATCTCTTGCCTCTTGTCTTTTTTATTCTACTTTATGACACTTATCTTTTTAAAAATGTATTCTAATTGACTTCAGAGTGGAAGGGAGAGAGAGAGAGAGAGAAAAATCAATGATGACAGAATCATCGATTGGCTGGGGTCTGAACCCGCAACCTGGGCATGTGCCCTGACTAGGAATCAAACCATAACCTCCTGGTTCATAGGTTGATGCTCAACCCCTGAGCCACGCCAGCTGGGTGGCATTTGTCTTTTTTATTGGCTGGTTGCTATTTACGTGCTTTTATTACCAGTTCCTGAGGGGCTCTTAGGAAGGGCTTGCTCTCTCATCGCCGGCTCTACACTACATAATAAGTTGTCTTGGTGACAGCCACCCCTGCTGGTCTTTTCATCACTGAAGTATATATATTAATTGAGAAAAGCACTGGTAGTATTGAAAAATACCATACAAATGTGGGTACAACTTAATAAGTACAGTTTGTAAGCTGAGCTTACATGTCCACAGAATAGATACAGGCCTGCTCCCCTTTCCATGTCTATAGTAATTCTTTTAAAGGTATATGGTCTAGCTCCTTTTAGCTTTAGCAGTACTTTTTGGCTGTTGATCTAGGCCTGCCCAAGAAGTTTGTCCTCCTCCTCGTCTAAAAAACTTTGCTTTTTACTAAAACTTTTCTCCCTTTTCATCCTCCCTTTGACTCCCTCCTCTCACATGCCATCTTGGAGGTGTCATAGCTCATTGGGAGAAACAAAGATATAGCTTCTACCCAAGTCTCTTCAAAAAGGTGATGGTAAACCTTTTATAACAATGCTCTATTCTTTCATTTCTGCTTTTTCCTGCCTGTATTCCTGAATTGAACAATTTCAGCCTCCATCTCTGTGTCTCTCGCCTGTCTTTCCCTCTCTCACTTCTCTTTTCTTGGTTCTGTCTCTCCTCTTAACTATCTGTCTTGGGCTCCATTCTAGCCTCTCTTTCTGATTGGTTACCTTCCCTCTCTTCTGCCTGATTGACCTCTATCCCTCCATCACCCCATCTGTCTGCTGGGTTCTCTCTGTCTGCCTGCAATAATATATGTGATAGCACTTTTTATTTTTAATTATTTTTTTAAATAAATATATTTTATTGATTTTTTTTTACAGAGAGGAAGGGAGAGGGATAGAGAGCTAGAAACATCGATGAGAGAGAAACTTCGACCAGCTGCCTCCTGCTCACCCCCCACTGGGGATGTGCCCGCAACCAAGGTACATGCCCCTAACCTGGGACCTTTCAGTCCGCAGGCCAACGCTCCATCCACTGAGCTAGTGTTTCCCAAACTTCTCTCATGATGAGAATCACCCGGTGGAGTTGTCAAACTACAGATTCCAGAATCCCAACTAAGAAGTGCTAAACTAGAATTTTTGGGAACATATAGATAAAATTGTATACTTAACTAGTGCTCTAAGACAGGTAGGTGATTCTCATCATGAGAGAAGTTTGGGAAACACTGCACTGAGCCAAACTGGTTTCAGCGTGATAGCATTTTTTAAATTATGAAGCACTGGGTAGTATAAGATATTGTCATGTCTTCTTTCTTATTGTTTTTTTCTTTCTCTTCCTTCTTTCTTTCTACTCCTTTCTGTTTTTCTGTTTCTGTTCCTCTTGGAGATCTTGCCTGCCTCTCTGTCAGTCAGCTCCTTTCTTTCCTTGCTAATCTGTCTTTTTTTCTGCTATCCTTCTCTATCTGCTCTGTTCTTGTGTCTCTCTATGTTTCCAGGTTCCTCTATATTTCTTTTTCCTGTCTATTCTGTCTGTCCTTAGGCCCTTTATCTGTGCCTGTGTGCCAGCTGCTTGTCTCCCTCCCTGTCATTTTCAATGTGGGTCCCACTATGTGCCTTTTGCTATATTCCTGTACTTCAAAAAATGAAAAGAATTAAAATACCATATGACTGATTGGTAGAGAAGAAAGTTATTTAAAAAAAATTTTTTTAATTGATTTTAGAAAGAAAGGGAAAGGGATAGAGAGACAAAAACATCAATGATGAGAGAGAATCATTGTTTCGCTGCCTCCTGCATGCCCTCTACTGGGGATTGAGCCTGCAACCCAGGCGTGTGCTGTTGGTCAGAATCAACCTGGGACCCTTCAGTTCCTAGGCTGACACTCTATCCATGGAGCCAAACCAGTTAGGGCTATATAATTTTTTAGTGACCAAAGGATTAGCTAGGTGGAAAGAGGAGAGACACTTTTTGAGATCAGACATAGAAACACACAGAAAGTTAAACAATATGTGGTAGTGATGATTGCTATGTGCTGTAAAATCTGAGCATGCAGAGAAGAGAAATCTTGTAGGGGGAAGA